CCCCAAAACCCCAAAACCCCAAAACCCCAAAACCCCTTGGCTCACCAAAATGGTTGAATGCAGTATGGTAAATATAATTATATATCAGAATTTTCACTCACAGATGCACTTGAACATCTTGAACTATCTGATAGCTTGATTCCAGTAGAATTCATGTCTGAAGTGGTAGGCAAGCGGAACCTAGTCTGTTTAGAGCCAACATCACTAGAGTGAAGCCTAGTACTAGCCTCAGAGATGTATGCCTTATCTCTTACAGCTTTTGAGTTTCAGAGCCTGCTTAATCTTTCGAAGTCTTTCTGCTTTTTCATGCCTATTTGAGTTTGTTCTGAATACACACTGGTTTCAAAAATCTCCTTCTTAAAGGAGTTCTGATCGATAGGTTTAAATTGCCTAATTTTGTTAAGAAGAGGGTCCTGCTTGATGCAACGATTGATATCGGAAAGCCGTGTCAACTGGTTTGGAGCCATTGGATTATTTTTGCATCGTTTGACCTCGTTCCAGTCCTTCATCAAATTTTTGTATAATTTTTGAGAATTAATGACCGGATCGTTTCTGACATAATCTTCTGAGATAGGCTTTAGTTTAAGATTACTCATTATAGCTCTTCTCTTCCTACTTTTAGACCTCTTGCTCAAACCACAGTCTGAGAAAGAAGAAACTTGTGGAATGAAAGAGCTGTGATACTTTCTCTGGTTAGAGTACTCCTCTTGCCTCTTTGTAATCTTTTCAGCGAGCAGAGCCTTAAAGATCTCAACACCTTCTTTGACTAATTCATCGGAGCTCTTTTCGTCCATTTGCTCAGTCAATTGAGGGAACCAAGTCCAATCCTTTTTGTGTTTTTCCGAAAGTTTCATGAAATTAATATGAGTTTTCAAATCAAGTTTTCTCTCCTCAGGGTACAACGAAGGGTTGACGGAATTCAAAAGCTTCTTTAATCGTTCTTCTTCACTATTGAAGATCTTGCCGCTTAGTTTGTGCCATCCATTCCTGACATTCTCAGAGAGCTCCCTTGTTTGAGGTCTTGAGGACTCAGAAGTTCAATTCGAAAAATTCAGTGGAGGGTTGTTGACAATGTCTGAATCTTTCGAATAAGGCTTATAGAAAAAATCAATTTTAGCCTTAAGCAAAGACCGGTGATGACTCTCTTGGCTAAGAAGCTCGGCTAGCCTTGCCTTCTTCTTTTTGATAGAGGTTGCTTGGTTCTTTCTGATTCTATGACTTTTTATGACTAATTTCCTTCTGGCTCTTTTGGATTTTGGCCTACCAGTACCTAAGGCGCTCTTGCCTAGGCCACAAGCAGTCAAGACCGATTTTGTGGAAGCATTTGAGGAAGGATTCCTTGTGTAGGAATATTCATTGGGACACAACAGTGTATCATTCTCGATGTCTTTGACTTTGCTTTTACAGGAGCTGTTCACTGAGAGATTTGAAAGTCTTCTTTTCCTTGGTCTTCTCGGATTCAAGAAGTCATTCTGGACGTTACAGAAGTTCTATAAATGAATTAGTTGGTGAAATGAGACTAATCGAATAGGATTTTTAGGCTTTTACACAACTATGCAAATATATAGCTTCTCATAGAAGGAAACATCTATGAATCCTTACCTCATTATCAAAATTTAGCATTTGAAGCTTGTTATTTCTCGTATAAAATTAATTATTTATACACTTCAGCTAAGGTTTTTAAACATGGGGTTTTGGGGTTTTGGGGTTTTGGGGTTTTGGGGTTTTGGGG